TGGACACACTGTGGCGAGTGTGTTATGAGGCTGCTTACGCACGCGCATGGCTCGGCAAGTGCCTGGGTTCAAACCCCAGCAGCAGCAGTTGCATCCCAGATCTTGATAATATAAATCCGGGGCGGGGCAGGGCAGCGGGGCAGCGTGGGCGCGTGGCGCGCGCGCGCGTGCGGCGGCCTTGGAATGAGGAATGAGACTGAAAACAGACAATGGCTGGGGTATACCCCAGCGGACTGACGGGACTGGACTGGACTGGCTGGTACCGACAGAGGTACCGGCCTGGACTGGCCTACCCCGAATATAACACAGGCCTGTGAGAACAGGCTAAGGGGCTGGTCTCACAGGCTAACCCGAGGTCCGCTACACCCTCCTTGCCTGAACTTGGCTCACTTGCCTCATCCTGTGCTGCCAGCTCATGCCCCTCCCACTCCTCTCCTCCTCTCCTCCTCTTCTCTCCAGACTCCTGCTCTTCCCCTGTCAAGACCCTTATTCTCCTCCTCCCCCTCGCCTCCCTCCTCCCCTCACGCCTCCACTCACTCCTCCCCTCCTCCTCCCCCTCCTCCTGCCTGGCACCTATTTGCACCTTGTCCGTTTTCTCCTCCTTCTGGTCCTCTTTCTTTCGCCTGAGGCTCCTCCTGCTCATCCTACGCGCATGTTGCCCCTCCTCTTCGACCCCCTCCTCCTCCTCCCTCCTTTCCCCTTTCCATGGACAGCTGAGCGCTTGATGCCTCGACTTGTGTGTCGTGATCATTGTCTCTCACGGCCAATGACATTGTCCATTCATGGAGCCTGGCAATATGATAATAGGGGCCACCAGTTTCAAATTGTGGGGTTAAGGGCCAACCCCACCATGGTATACATTTCCCAGGCTCCGTTCTTTCTTGCTCCAGCTCATCCTCCAGCCTGAGGCTAGCCAGCAGTACGATCCTGTGAAAGAGCGAACTACTTGGAGGAAAGATTTTATAGAAAACGGGCAACATGTACAAGGTGGGGGGGGGAGAGGGGGGTGTTGCCGTACATGATGTTCACCATCCAATTCACATTGTTCTCCTCCCTCTTCCCTCTCCTCTTCCATATACCTGTATCTAGACTGAAAGTTGGCCCAAAGACAGATATAATAATCACCCTGCCACTCTATAAATTGGGGGAAAAAGGTCGAGGTATAATTATCATGACATGATGACAGACGATCCGAATTTGATTAGTTCATTAATTAATTAATTAATTGTGAAAGAATGTTTGATTGCATGTCCCAACTTTGTTATGACGACTTTGACTTTGCTCAAGGGGAAGGTTCTGGATGTGGAAAAGGACATAGCATGAAATTTAGAAAGTTTTCTGGGAAAAAAAAAAAAAAAAAGGACATAGCTCACCAGCAGTCCCTGGAAGTTGCATCCTTTTTTCTTCACTTTTTTTTTTTTTTGTCTCTTGGTTCTTTTTTTTTTTTTTTTCCCATCTTTGTTTTCAGGAATTTTGTTTTTTCTTAACACATTCCTTAATTGCTCAATTTGAGGGCATACTCAGACGGGGACCTATAATCCCAAAATCCCAAAAAAAAGGGTAAAAGGCCGGTCACACAGATCTACCAAATTCGCAAATGTACTATTCCAGTGCCCATTTGTCAGCGGCTTGGGAAGCCGCGGGGCAAGGGATTTTGCGGTCACCTCTGGAGGTGTCCGCAAATGCCCTTTTTCATTTGTTGCATTTTTCTTCAAAAATTGCCAAAAATTCGTTCACAAAAGTTCTTTCATAATTAGTGGATGCGGCCGTGTGACCAGGCAAGTACCAAATCCCCATTTCTCCAGACGGCCGCGACCTTGTCCCATCTGAAAAGGCACAGCAGTGTGACGTGAACCATGCCCAAAGCCTCAAATCGGCCCTTCCCAAATTGCAGATTTGGGGTCTCCGTGTGAGTATGCCCTGAGTTTTTTCGTAAAAAGCCTTTCTCGGTCGTTTTTTTTTTTTTTTTTTTTTTTTTTT